CTTAGGTGACATGCGGCACTGTGTCCCATAGCTGCTCTGAGCCGGCTTCCAAGGCAGGTGTGCCCAGATGCCAGCACAGCAGCAGCTAAAAAGAAGTGACCCTCTGTCTGTTCTGCATCTGACACCATCAAGAGACATGCTGGGGTCCGAGTGTGGACTCTGTAGCCCAGTGGTGATGCAGAGGCAGAGAGAACAGCTGGAGCTCCAGCATCTGGGTGGAATCTGTGTCACCAGCAGCCCCTCAGAATTACCTTTTAACTTAAAAACTAACTGCGCTGGATATGGAAGTCATTAAAAGGGAATAAATATGAAACCCTATGAAATCACTTTCACTGGGTCTTTTTTAAAGTCTAACTACCCTTTAAGCAATCAAACATGATGGACCACACAGTAGCACTGATTAATAGACCCTCAACTGTGTGCAGGCACCTGAGCGGAAAAATAAGGAAATAGGGGTAGAAGGTAGTTTGCCAAAAACTGGAAGATCATAGCAGCAGGATGTGAAGGAAAGGGGTTTGATTAAAGGACAGGAAGATTATGCCTCTGTTTAATTATAAATTTCACACTTTTAGTAAACTATTATGTGTCCTGAACATGTACATTTAACTAATTACATAGAGGATATCTGTGTATTGCCAGGTAATTGTTCACTGCAGTGTGGGAGAATATTGATCAGTGATTTTCTTTATTACCGTAATGTAGTTGCCAGGAGATGAAAAAGAAGATAGTTCAGTGTTGCAAACTGTTAATAATCTCTAGCCAACAATTTGTTAGAAAGAGCAGTGAACAGTTTCTGGACCCAATTTTGCTGGTAATGTAGCTGCTAAGGCAAACGGATAAATTCATAGCACCTCTCCACTATACAGCCAAAAAAGGGATTGATGGATATTACCTTCTTCTTCCTCTACTGGGCAACAATGAGTTGGCAAGGCCTTGTGGTACCACAGAGCCTATAGTATAGACTGATGTTTAAGAGGAAGATCTCCTGACCTGTGAGAATGAGGGCTAGCCCCTCGAAGCACTGATCTACTTGCCATGGTAAGCACCACTATCCAAGACAGTTGTTTTTGGTTGTAGTTTTATTTTGGTTTGGGTTTTTTGTTTATTTGTTATGTTTTAATTTTTCATTTAGAACTAAGAAAAAAATGATTCTGTTTGAGGTCAGGAGAAATGGAACAAAAAAATATTTCTTCTATTCCTGGAAGGAAACAAGGCAAGAAAATGAGAGGTGACTTAGGGCAGCCATCTGCACGTTTCTAAGGGGAAAAATAAGTGCAAATTTAAGCATGTCCAGAGCGTGAAGAGTGAACAAAGCTAGCTGGGAAAAGAAGTGTTAATGCAGCAAGACTGCCAGCCGGCCATAATGAATTTAACCCTAGAGTTACTGTAGCCTGCTTCCAGCAGGACCTCATCTGAAGTGCGAGGAGCCTCATCCTGGTCTTCAGTCTGCATTTATCACTCCAGTGGTATTTTAAGTATTAACATAACTATTACTGCTGGTAATATTAGAAAAATCTGCTTCTTTGCTTTTATGATCCACTTTCATTTTAAGGTGTTATTGAACTATAAAATGGTATTTATTTGCTCCGTTTGTTGAAGCTAATAACTGAACCAAGTTTGTTATTTTTGAAACATACTATACCAGCAAACTCTCCCTGTCCCTGGTGTGGTCATCACTCTTGATGGTCTGGTGGGCTTCTTGGTATTTATCAGGCACTGATAGATATTTAAAGACACAAGACCTTTTATATCAGTTATCCTTGCTTAGTTGCTAACAAAGCTAGGACTTTGAGAAGTTGTTTCCCTTAATCTCCGCATAGGAGCTTGAAGACAGTGGAGTAGATGAGCTTCCAAGCCCTTTCAGTTCATCCTCAGTTTCTATGCCTTCTAAGCAAGATTACTTATTCCTTTGGAATTCCACTTGGCCAACATCAGTGGAGCACACATCCATATGCAAGGAATTGTATTCTGGAGGTAGGAAAAGAGGAATGGTCCATTTTCTACACACCATAAAAGGACATTGCCATCACCCTATAGCCAAAGACAGAGTCACAAGAGCAAAGCTCAGGAAATGCATTGGACCACAAGTCTACCTAATAGCAGAGACTTCAGGAGAAAGACCCAAGGATACACGGATACAGGGCAAGCCGTCCATGTTTAAGCTCCCTAGAGAATGTACAACTATGTGGAAATATGACTGGTTAAAATGTGACCTAATGGTGGTAGACTAGCACAGAAACCCAGCAAGGCCTGTCTGTTTAGATTCTTGCTGGCCTCTCTGTGCAGCATTCCTTCTGCCTGGGTATGGACAGGACCATTCCTTAACCTGAGGTCTGAAATCCACTTCCAAACAAGGTACGCAAGAACATTATGCCCTGTTCCTACACCGAAAGGCAAGGGAAGATTAGAATGGTATTTTTAAGCTTTGTGATCTGCTCTTAGGAAATGGGTTCTCATTTCTATCTTCTGCTCTGCAGAAAAGAATCTCTTACTTCTGTGACTTGCATTACGATGAGAGGAGGCAGGACAGAGGGAGACAAGAAAGGGTCAGAGAGAAAATTTGCTTCTAAGGCTATTTCTGAAGCATCCACCCTGAGATATTGTCTCTGATTTTCAAGAGTAGGGAGAGAAATGATACAAATGGTGATTGGAATCAGTAGACTATTTCAGGGGATCCTGCAAATCAGTGCTTGAGGATTCAGGGGCATTTATTTCCCTTTGAGAAACACTTCCTACATGAGGTGGCATCTAGAGGCCCATAAGGAAGCTGTATGTAGGCACTGGAGTGAGAGAAAAATGCATGAACATGTGGGAAAGAGTGGGGCCTTGCTGATGTAAAGAATGAACTATCGGAACAAGAATTGAAAATTGGATCAGGGCCTCCGTATAGCATACTCAATGTCAAGTTGAGACACTTGAATTTAATGCATTAAACAAAGGAGTTTTGCACGCAGGAGGAACACATTTTTGGGGTGGTGCTCTAGAACACTAATATAACCATGGTAATGAAAAGAAACTAGCAGAATGGAGGCATTCAGGAAATGTCCTCTGATGTTCTGGCCACAGGTGGTAAAGAGGTAATGGTGTTGGGTACCAAAGACAAATAGATTGATCAAAGTTGGCCAGAGGAAGAGCTGCGGACTTGGCAGCTGATTTGATATGGAAATGCAAAAACATCAGGATAAATGCTTAGCTAAAGACAAGCCATGGAGTAGAGGTAGCACAAACTCTGAGGTTGCCACAGATTTGGAGGGAAAAAGTGAGGTCTGTCTTAAAATTTCTAACTTTAAAGAGCCTGGTAATACTTGACAGAGATATCAAGTTTCGAAGAATTCGAGACCCTGAACTGCTCATCTTTTCCAAGGGTCTCCTAGATACAGTATGCACAGTGGATGAGCAAATGGTGAGTGCCCTGGGCACTGGCTGACTTAAGAAATGGGGCTGTAGTGCTACAGAAAGCAGGAGCTGGAGATAGACAGCACTGTGGACTCGCGGGGAAAGTGCTTGTTGAGGTCCAGGCAGGCTTTCTAGACAAAGCCTGTGAGGTAAAATGTTAAAGAATTTACCTTTCAAGGCAAGAGGAGAAGGAAAACAAAGTACTGGACACAGAGCAGCAGACTGGAGACAAGAAGACAATCAGGACAGTGGCTTGCCCAACCACAAAAGTGGATCCGTTTCAGGGACAAAGGGGACCCTGAGCAGAACAAAAGGCAGGAATGTCAGGGTTGAGGGGGCAGTGAGCTGGAGGCCCCTACAGACAGATCATAATCTACATTTTCTAAGACTGTACTCCCTGGGGTTAAAGATAAAGAAGGGAGACTCTTCAGTTCTCTGCAAAGGGAACAGAGAGAAGGCAAGAATCCAAACCAGGTAAGTGGCTGTCTTCAGGCAAAGCAACGCCTGACTAGTAGCAAGGGAGAGACTGAAGGGAGTCAAAAATACCAGAGCTGGGATACACACGGACACCATGCAGTACTGCTCAGCCTTTCAAAAGAAGGCAGTCACAACCTGAGTGAACCTGGAAAACGCTAAGTGAAATAGTCCAGGCCTAGAAAGATAAACATAGCATGCTCTCTCTTAGAAATGGAATCCAAAAAAGTCAAACTCATAGAAGCAGAGAATAAAATGGTGGCTGACATAGGCTATAGGGATGTTCAAAGAATACTAAATTTTATTTGGACATTTTTCTAGTCTAAACAAAAATTTTATTCTAGACAAGACATAAGTTCAGAGATTTTTGTTTCCCCTCTTTTCCATTCTCTTCCTCCAGGCAGCTGCTGAGATTTACAGTTTACTGCCTGCTCTAGGATAATTAAAAAAAAAAAAAAACTATCACCACAAAACATAATATGTGAGGTAATAGATATGCTAATTAGATTGATTTGTCTATCCCACAATGAACACAAACCTCAAAACATCATGATAGCATTATGCTATATGTTCCACAAATAGGTATAATTTTTTAATTTATTTATTTATTTATTAAAGATTTCTGTCTCTTCCCCACCGCTGCCTCCCCTTTCCCTCCCCCTTCCCCAATCAAGTCCCCTTCCCTCATCAGCCCAAAGAGTAATCAGGGTTCCCTGCCCTTTGGGAAGTCCAAGGACCACCCACCTCCATCCAGGTCTAGTAAGGTGAGCATCCAAACTGCCTAGGCTCCCACAAAACCAATAGATTTGTGTCGGCTAACAACCAACCAGTATGTGTAAAACATCAGAAGAGTTGGCTGGGCCAATTTGGAACAAGGCTATCCTCAGTCTCTGTGGTCTAACCTCCACTCAGTTTCCCAAAGCTGCTTTGCACTGCAAGGATACTCCAGTGTCTCAGACCATCCCAGCAGTCAGCGGAAGCACCGTGGAAAAAAGATGCAGAACCAGCCGCAGTCATGTTTCTTAGTTTATCTCTTTCAAAAACCGTTAAATAAATGAGCAAAGAATGCTGTAATCATGACCTACTTATTTAATGACCTTGTTTGTTTTGTTTTTTTTTGTTTCTGCTAGATGCAGCCGCTCTCTGTCCCCTGCCCCAATGAACATCTGCACTAGGCCCAAGCCTTGGAGTGACTTACCTGAAGAGTGACACCATTTGTCTGAAATCTATTGTAAGTACCTTACGCCTCCAGTGAACTAGTTTACTTTAATAGATGATGATGGTGATGATGATGATGATGATGATGATGATGACAAACCACACAATTGCAAAAGCAGGTACAATTACAAGTAGCTTCAGCCTTTAGATGCACCTTCATCTCTTAGGTGACCAGTCCCAATACCCGCAGCTGTTTTCAGCTACCAGCATTCATTGCACGCATGCCCGGGTAGTGTCCTCTCCCATCTCTCTCCCACCTCCTGGTGGCTGCCTCATGTGTGCCTCTCCCAGGAGGGTGGTAGCTCCCCTCCCCGTGTTTATGCTCATCCTCATCGTTTGCCAGTCTATTGAACCTTGCAGTTGCTTGTGTTTCGTGTCACCCAGGTCAAACCTCTGAGCCAGCTTAGCCTGCTTATGCCTACCTGTTCTCTAGGACACACCCCATGTTGTTGCCTCCTTGCAACTGTAAGCAGCCAAGGCTTCCTTTTGGGACTCTACGCTCCTTCCACCATATTTCCAGCCCATCAAGCTAGGTCTGCTCTGCCCTCTGGGTGCATGGCTCTGTGTAACTGATAGGATTCCTTGTACACCTGGCATTTCTGTAGAAATATATCCCTCACAAGGAAATAAGACAGGGAAGGAGAGTCAATATCCACAGGCAACTAATGAAAATTTACTAACTAATCATATTAAAACTAATAGACGAATATATGCTTTCTTTCCACGAAGAAAAGCCAGAAATTTGAATTGTTTAGACGCTCTGCATGCAAAATAATTATACATTTTAAAATGAAATCTCCTTTTAATTGTACTTACTAGTTTTCCTGTACAGTAGAAGGCAGGTAATGGGATGGTGATTTACCGAAGTCTCTGTTACTGGAAAACGCTAAACCTGGAGGGCTAATACTCCTCTTAGGTTCAGGTAGGACATTTCACATTCATATTACCTAAGTCTTTAGCTATTCTAGCAGACCTGAAACCCAAAGAAATGAAGCCAGAGTCTTGTTTTGAGTCATTTTACCTGTATTGCGTTTGGTCTCTTGACAATTGATGATAACTGGTATGCAGGTGATAGACAGGCAGGCCTTTCTAGCCAAGATGGGCAATGAAGGGCATTGAGGAACGAGGGCTTACAGACATGAGAGAGGACCATAAGTTGTTTCTTTTGCCTATAATCACACAGGGAACTTAATTGCATAATTTATCCTTATGTTCAAGCACAAGGAGTCCCTTAGAAAGCCTCACATCTGAATAGTTTCTCACATCTGAGTTTTGCTTCAACACAGAGTGATGCCTGTGCCAAGAGCACAGTCACGCTAGGGTATAGACTGGTGTCGAGGTTTGCGCAGAGTCCTTGTGCTGCAGAGAACGCAGGCCTCGACCTAGGAACTGGTACCTGATCTCTCTTGGAATTGTAAGGAAATGCCCAGTCAGCTGTTTTTGCCTCAGAGCAGTGTTTCATCTTCCCCTGGGCCCGGGGCATGGGCAGGTTGGCTTATAACCCTAGCAGTGTCTGCTCTTCAGATACTGCTTCCTTACATACATGAAAGAAAATAGTCACCAAGGTGGGAACAATATAAAATTGGGAACTTTACAAAAGTGGGTCCCTTCCTGAGAGCTGCCAGGGCTCTGCACCTGTTCCCAAAGTTTAAGAGGTGATGGTTGAGTGCTGGGTTTTCGCACATTACCTGCACACATGCTCAAGCCTGCCGACTTCCCCTTGCTGCGTGATCACAAAGTGAGAGGATGTCTATAGAGGGTCTGGCATGGCAGAGATGAGTGTGTCTACTCCACTACAACTTTCTGAGCCTTCAATGGGTGTCAGACACTATTCTGGGCACTGGGATATAGCAAGGAACACAAACAAATCCCTACTTGTGAGCTTACATTCAGTTTCCCTGCTCTATAAATGACAAACAGACAAAATAGGTACATAGAAGCTAACCAAGGACTGATTTGATTTTATTTTCCTTTTTCCTTCCAGAAAGTATAATTGAGAGGAAAAGTGTGAAAGAAATGCAAAGGGGAAACAATAGGTATGCAAATGAATCTTGCCACCCCACCTCCCAGTCCCTGTCCTCGCGCATGACCCAGAGGCTTCTCAGGACTCCAGTACCCAGGCTCACCTCTTCTCTAGCTTCCCTGAAAATCAGGCCTAAAGAAGACTTCTGTAAGAGTGTGAGCGCCCACCCTAGTGCCATCCTGACTCAGTGCAGAAATGTGCCCGCTCTCGCCTTCCAGTTCCACTGCGGTAAAGATGAGGTCAACAGCTCTCCATTGCTGCTGATCTCTGGTGCTTCTCCATCGCTTGAGAGTGTCCCTTGGTCTCATCCACTCCTTGGGATGCAGCTCCTTCAGCAAACTCCCTTCAGTTAGAAGCTTTACCTGTAACTGGGCAGTAGTGACACACACCTTTAACCACAGCATTTAGGAGGCAGAGGCAGGAGGATCTCTATGAGTCTGAGGCCAGTTACAGAGCTAATTCCAGGATAGTCGAGGATACACAATGAAACCCTGTCTCAAGAAAAAACAGGGGGGGGGGGGGCTTTACATGTACCATTTATTTCCTGCCAGGATCCCGACTGCAGTGAGGAAAGACACTGAAAAATATTGTAAATCAGCCCTGCCAAGAAGAAGGGGGAGAAGAGATTGAGATAATAAAATGCTTTAATCATGAAAACATTTTAAATTAATGTGAGAATACTGGGCCAAGTTGTGAAAGGATAAATTGTAAGAAGGCGTGATAAGCAAGAGTCCTGTAGGTTGGTTTCATGAATAGCCTATAGTGTTCAGGCCGATGGGCCACTGCAGGCCAAGTGCAGCTTGCTTGACCCTCAGCTCCAAGGAGCCCTCAGTGCAGCCACAGCAATGAGAGGCATGTGTGAACAGGAGAGGTGGGGGGCGGGCAGTGAGGCCAGGGTGGAAAGAAGAGTTTGCTCGCTACAACAACAACCCTTTTGCCCTTGCCCCTGACCGAGATATTCAAAAGATGACTGCAGTGGACACGCCTTACTTCCACAGCTAACTGAACACCACAGAACTACTATTTTCCAAAAAGCTCTCTCATAGACTACTTGCTCCTGGGCCAGCGCTGTGCTAAACACAACCTGGCTCTTCTCCTTCACTCTTAGCCACAGCCCACAGCTGAAAGGAATCGCTGTTCCCATTTTACAGATGGGGAAGATGGAGACTCCGAGATGCAGACTAACCTGCCTTGGGCAAGTGGCTGCTAGCTGGTGGAGCTCAGTTTTCCTAAGCCCCCTCCCCAGGTGGCAGCAGTCCTTTACTTCCACCCCACCCTCCCCAGACACTCTACAGTGTGAAACAGAGGAGGGAAAGAGTTGCCACTTCCCAAAGGCTGATCTAAATGACTGAGTGATTAGTTATGAGAGGGAGGTTCTGAGTAACCCTTTCCTAGCCACACAGGCTGCTAAGTGGGAAGCTGTTCATGTGCAGGAGAGGTCGTGAGCCCACTGAAGGGAGAGAATTGGGAGAGAGAGAGAGAGAGAGAGAGAGAGAGAGAGAGAGAGAGAGAGGGAGGGAGGGAGGGAGGGAGGGAGAGAGAGAGAGAGAGAGAGAGAGAGAGAGGAAGCACTTGCCTCTCCACAGACCCTGGAGACTGATAAGAGCTCACGCAGATAAAATATTTATTTTTCCATATGTTGCAGAAAGCATTGCCATCTCTGTATGTGTGCAGTGTGTGAAGGAGTGTGAACTATATACATCCAACAGTACCATTCCGCCTAATTTCCATGCATTTAACATGCTTAATACCTAGCAGCATATCCATATGTTTTAATGCATATTTCTTTGCACAAACAATATGGTCTAGTTAGGCGAGAGCCAGCATCCTCCACAGCCTTGCTCACTGCTATCTTTCAGCCCGAAACTTTCTGTCAGGACCAGCACAGGGAGAGTTAAAACACAGAAGGTTCTGCTGGCTAGCTCAACTGCCCTTCACCTTAAACCGCCTTCCTATTTCTTGAAGCAGCCTTTTTCTCATAACAAAAATGTTCACAGTGGGGAGATGAAAATGTTTTTGTTCTCTTTGGACAATTGGGACATGTTCAGTCAGAATGTCAGCACTGACCGTTGAAAGGCGGGTGCCTGCGGCCACACTTTTTTTTCTTTTTCTTTCTTTCTTTTCTTTTTTTTTTTTTTTTTTTTTTTTTGAATGCAGAGCTCCACCAGTGTGGCGGGAGGAAGTGCACAATGATTGGCCTGTTTTTCTGTGGAAGTGTTCTGGGTACACCCAGTTTTGCTTTGCATATATTTACGAAACATCTGCCCCTTTCTTGTTCTGAAGTCTTTCTCTGTCACAGCCCCCTTCCCCTTTCCCCCGGGTTTTCTTTGTTGTTGCTGGCCTGTCTGACTTTTTCGTTGAAGTTTTCATTTTCCGGATGAGGGGCCACCTCTTAACAGTGTATAATTTTAACAGGGAGGGGAAGAGAGAGAGAGAGAGAGAGAGAGAGAGAGAGAGAGAGAGAGAGAGAGAGAAACAGAGAGAGAGAGAGAAACAGAGAGAGAGAGAGAGAGAGAGAGAGAGAGAGAGAGAGAAACAGAGAGAGAGGGGGCGCACAGCAGGCGGGGGAGAGAACAAACTTGAAAGAGACTGAGAGGCCAGAAAGAGCTTGGCAAACCAACCTTTGGCATGGTGACCAGGAGGAAGGTTCTGGTAGGAGTTTGTTCTCTGAAATGCTGCCTGGAGTCAGCCAGTGTGCTGCTGCCCTCTACAGGTTCCAGGGGATAGTACAAGCTACAAAGGCTTGTCCAGACACATCCTCAGATGTGCCATGTTTATACAATCCTTTTTATGCAACCAAAGAAGGCATTTTCAGTTAATTACAAGAGAGCTTGCTCTTTCCTCCTTAATAAACCACAAACTGAAAAAAAAAAATGGGTCATAGAACAGCACCTGTGCGTGTCAGACAGATTGGTGTTATGTGTTGCTGTTTCTTGGCTTCAGAAAAAGGAGTCTTTCCAAAGAATTGTGAAAGAGGTTAAGGTGGTGGAGGAAATGTTCGATGGTCAGTATGCTGTGCTCTTGTCTGTGACTGGAAACAGCCATGGTAAAAGGACAACTATAGTGATACTAAGCAAATGAGGGAAGGAGCCAGGTAGGTTGGTCTTGAAGGGGCCCTTCTTGCAGAGGAGGCTACAGTGCCCCTGTGCCATGGACAGACGCCCAAGGTGATCGTAGACATAAGGTGAGGCACAGATATCAGGCAGGTATCAAAATCCAATTCAAGACAAGAAGCAAGGACGTAAGCAGTGGAATTTATCCAGGGTTAATTTAGAGTCATTGGGTAGTTTGGCAGCACTGGGGCTTGGAAAAGAGCACCCTTAATTCTCCGAACCTCATGTCTGAAACCAGCTCAGGCCTTGTCTGTAAGCACCAGAGGTCATTTTCTTTTCTGACACATGATAATGGTCATTGGTGTTTTGTCCCTATATTTAGATGAATTACAAGGACCAGCCACTCTTATTAAATACTCTTCATGTAATCAATGAAAAAGCAACCAATCCAGGTTGATTCCGCTGCTGCATAAAAACTAGGAAACTTAATTGAGATTCAGACTGGGACTAGTCTCCAAGTGTACTTGAATTTCAGCTCTGTTTAATTCCATCCGCAAACAGCTATTGAATGGCTGCTGTGTATAAGTTGCCCTGGTTCATGGTATAGACTAAAGAAAGGGTAAACTCTGGGAGGACAGGACCCACACTGCTTGGCCCATAACCTGTGTAACACATCGCAGCCATGGTATTTGTAAAGTGAATGTGTGAATGAGTGAATGAATGAGGCGAGCGGAGCAGAAGGAAAGAAAGGATGAAGAGCAGGAATATATCAGTAACTAAAGTATTCCCCTTCCCACAGAGAGGTCATTTTCTCCTAGGAGTAATAGCATGTAACTAACAAGGTGAGGGTCAGTGAGGAAAACACGAGTCCTGAAAGTACTGAGAGATTTCAGGATGACAGAGAAGAGTCATCCTTGCTGAAAGAGGGGACACACGGCAGCAAATCATGAAGCTGGCATTTAATAAGTGTGAAGGGAACGTCTCTTTTCATCAGGCAGAGAGGAGAAAAGACCGATCAAAGCAAGAACAGTGATGAGTAAAGTTGAAGAGCCCAGAAAATACATTCCAGAGCTCTGGGAATGACAAACAAACTCCAAGATGGCCAATGTATAGGATCCGTGAAACAATGTAGGGCAGAGAAGGAACTGACCTTGAATGCCAGGCTCTCAGGTCCTGCAGGATTTACTGATTGGAACGCAGCAGGACAAGGGGGTTAAGGGGTGGTGAGCAAGATAGTGGACACCAGCATCCTGGACAGGGAACAGACTTGAGAGGATGCAGGGTAAGCTGAGGCCGAGGAAGGTGAGCGCTGCACCTGGGGCTTCTATAGCAGACCACACTGCAGGAAATAGACACCTCAGCAGAAGCACTGGCTCTCCCAGGGGAAAAAGGGGGGAGGGGGACTCTGGAGACTTTGATCTTGGATGCTTTCTTAATCTGATAAACCAGAGTAGCAGATTCTTGGGGGTCCCCGGGTAGGCATGGGATTCAAGGGTTAGTCACAGAGTTGCCCCTTCAGCAATAGAGACTTGTTTTTTTATATGTTGGCTTTCTCCACTTTGAAAAATATATCAGAAAGCCCCCTTCCCCCAATTCTAATCTTTACCATGCTATTTCTGCCTCATGCCCTCTGAAGAAACAGATTTGATTTCACAACCTGTTGGACTAAAAACACAGCATACTAATCATAACACCATATTCTGCGAGGGCAGATTTGACTACCCAGTACAACACATTTCAATACGAAATATTCTGTATACAAGTCCAATGCCACGCTCATAGAAACAAGGAGAACATGGAAACATAGCGACTTACAACAAATTATGTCCGACACATAATCTATCCAAAAAGAAAAAAAAACATACTCGCTGGTTACATAGTGATAGAAAAAGACACAAAGCCACAGAAACTGGAGACGTGTTCAAGGAGGAACTCCTAATCCCTTTTTCCTGGGGTCTGGGGTCCATCTGCTCTAGATGTTGATTTGCTAGTTACTATCATTGGCATTGCCACGGGGAGAGGAGCCCTGAAGTGACAGATAGCTGAACTGTTTCACTTTCTACTCCTGACACTAAATACCACCACCACCTTTCTCCTGCCCAGCAGAAATCTCTTTCTCACAAGGCAAATGCCACTGGCACTCCTGAACTCCGGGAGCCTGGACTAAACCTAAGAACAAAGAGCAGTTTAAGGCCTGGATGAATAAAGAGGAGGGTGGAGAGTATGTGTGTGCTCCTCCCCCCGCCATGCTGCAGGAAGCTGAGATCTTCCTAACCACTCTCCACTTTCTACACCACCCCTCTCATCTGTACAGCCTGCAGGTCGAGGTTCTGATTTGAATTATGAATTGACTTAAAATAAAACTAATAGGAACAGGAAAGTGGGATACTCCACAACGTGCTCCAAGAACAGACTTGAAGCTAGAAGGAACCTTGTAGGGCCCTCTAATCTAAGCCCTTTATTTTGCAGATGAGGAAACTGACGCCCAGAGAGGTGAAGTGAGGTGCCCAAAGCCACACAGCAAGTTGCAGGCACAGCTAGTATCGTAGCTCAAGTCTCCCAGTCCATTGCTCTTCCCATTACTCCACGGGCCTGTCTCTAAGCTTCCCGACAAATGCTAGAACGGTAAACCTCCACAGCATTTTTTCCAGACCATGTTAAAGCTCTAAGGGGGACAGGATGCTTTCTTGGATAATGTCAGCCATACGTAGCTCAAGCTGTCTAAAGTTCTGGGACAGGGTCTTTTTATACAGCCAACAGAGTCCAAATGTGGTGCTGTTTGCTTGGCCCATATGCTTTCATGTGTTCCCAGTTAGGCCATTACTGGAGGGAAAAAAACAAGAATCAGCTTGTTTTAAAACAAGGGACATACTGGACTCCCTCCCATCCCCCTTCAGAAAAAAAAAAGTCAAGTTATCTTTAACAGATTCTAAAAATGCCTTTTCCCAAATATGCAGTCAGTTCCTTCAAAGGGCCCTTTGTTTATTCTCAGGAAGAAACCCAAGACAGCTGAAAACCAGAAGGCATCTGAGGAGAATGAGATTACTCAGCCGGGTGGATCCAGCGCCAAGCCGGGCCTTCCCTGCCTGAACTTTGAAGCTGTTTTGTCTCCAGACCCAGCCCTCATCCACTCAACACATTCACTGACAAACTCTCACGCTCACACCGGGTCGTCTGACTGTGAGTACGCCAGTGAGGTGACCGTGTCTCCCCAGTGCCTGGCATGGGTCTTCTCCCCCACCCCAGGGTTCCGACTGTTTTGTATTCAGAGCAAGCTGTTTCCATTTGGTCTTCCAGAGTAGCCAAGGGTAACATGGCGCCATTTTGATCCAGCCAGCATCTATATATTCTCAAAGCCAGAGTATCTTTTAAAGCCAGGTGACCAGGCATTTGGCCTCGAAATGCTGATTAGTTACATGGGTCACATTCTCTTTCACGAGAAATTCACAAAAAGAAGTTGTATTGCGGCTTACTGATTATTCTTGCTCTCGGTAACAGCACTTCTACCGTTACTAAATGGAACAACCAAATATGGACCTCAGAAGGCCAGTGAGACACAAGGAAACAACCATTTCCAAATTACATAACCCGAGTCAGATTTGCATTAGTTATTGGAGTCTCATGTAGCTTGGCTGAATTTCGGTCTTTCCAGTTTTTAATTTATTTTGAAGTGGTTAAAGGATAGCATACATTTACAGAAGAAAAGAGAATGGCTTCCAAGAATCCAAAAGCCACCCAGACTTCTCATAGCCAATAAGAACACAGGTTAAAAATATTTTTTAATTAAAAAAACTGCCTAAGGGCTAAATTTGGAAATGGGCACTTAATGAGAATCGTCACTATTGAAATCACTTCTTTGGTGTTTATTTTTGCCATCTTCTCACTAATCTAGAAGTCACTTCTTAAATTCTATTTTAAGAAAGTTGATAAATCACGTTAGAAGGCTGCTTTTCGTTTTTCAAGTGTAACCCAGTACTTGAGAGAGGAACACATGTGTTGACAATACCAAACCGAAAAAGTATTCCTTTTAGCTTCAAGATGCCCAACAAGTCTTCTGAACTGATCTCTCCACAGGGTGTCTGGTAACAGGCAGAGAGCTGGCATAATAGAGTGAGTTAAATATACCAGGAAAGCTTTATTTCCCAAAAGGGCTCCATTTATCCTGTTCCTCCAAGACAAATTTAAAAAAAAAAATCTCCATTAGGAAATCTCTTGCTGTTATTTCTCTCACAGAATAAATGTAAAATTCTGCAAGGAGGACGAAGGGTGAATCTGGGCGATTCCCTCCCCCCACTCACTTTGCCATCGTAGCCTCTAGACAAGGGATGTGAGCTGGGGCAGGGCTTGGGCTTCAGCCACACTCCAGCTGTCACTAGAAAATGGAAAGAAAATGAGATCTGAGTCACTCAGTGCCACGTGATCTGTGCAGCCAAACTTGCCGCTTCTGTTTGAGTAGAGGGCGGAAGCAGGGACTTTATCCCGGGGACCATCATCATAGTCACGTCCATGGCTTTCTTGCCTGGAAGTCTCCAGCCTAATAGTAATTACAGGAAGAACTTGAAAATAGCATGGCACAGTGCCCCACAGACATGTGTCCACTGCCCCTGCCCGCCAGGAAGGTGGCTTTCCCTCTGATGAAAGGCTGGAGTCTCAGTGTGCACCTTCATCGCCTGGCTTCCCGCCATACCTATGGGGAAGATTGCATGGGATGGCCCTAGCCCAGAAAGCCGGCATAGTCAAATGAAAGCCACCGTGCTCCTCACACTGTAGTAAGCATCCTCTGGCCAGGCCTCGCTTGCCCTACTAGCCTGGCATATGTGGAAGGAACAGCAGGAAGGTGCTGTCAGTACAGTCCTGTGGAAGCCGACAGAGTGGAGCTCAGTCGGTGTGTGAATGCAGTTGGAAGGAGACCGAAATGGGAGGAGAAACTTAATCTCCGCTGTCTCGAAAGTCACTTTGATTTTGCCATTAAGATGTGTAAGTCTTCTCCACACCGACCTGTTGTTGAAACGGATTCTACTTCTCTCTAAACATATTTAGATTGTAGTTTGTCCTGATTTGAGCCTACACTTAAAGGAAGGTTGTTTTTAGGAAAGATTCACAGAAATCTGTCCATTTGGAGATTGCCTGAGAGAAGACAGGAAAGGAGTTTATTTTAAGCTGTTAAATTTTTTGGATGCTCTTCTTGCATTCAAGAGGATTTTTTTTATTTTTTTTTTACTTTCAAATGTCATTCTTGCCATAGATTAATTTAAAAGCCTAATTTCTTTAAGGTAAAATATTCAGTTCCTATTTAGAATGAACAGATTTGGGGCATTTAAAAATAGTGTCCTTGACTTGTTAGTCTCTTTAACTTCAGGAACATTCTACCAGTCTGTGGTGTTCCAGGCTTTCACAAGTGCTTGAGTTTTCATAGCACCTTTTTATTTTGTTGTGTGCTTAGCAAAATTATTCTTAGTCATGGCTTCCTGTCCGTCAGCATGATTCTTCCCAACTTACGGATGAGAGAACTGAGAGAGCTGACACCTCACTGAGGCAGGATTTGCTGCAGTGTGCTCACGTGGGTGCTGACAAGTGTTTACCAGTTTGCTCTCATTCTGATTGTCCAAAGATGGTATTCCTAGCTATGAACCGGCATCTCGGAAGTGTGTGGCTACTCATAATGGTGATGTGGTTATAAAAACACAGGAGATAAGTCATCCCTGCAGAAGAGAAGTCAGCTCTGCTGTAACTAGGAGAGGTGACGAGCCACAGTGCTTTTGCATATACCCATGGAGAGATGACCATTCCAGCACCTTAACTGATCAGTTGGCTTTGTAACTTGCTGTGCCGTGGCACTTCCGCCTTGGCCAAAGATCCTAGTGCTGTCCAAAAGCAGAAGTCGCATAGTTGGATAGGCTTTGCTTCAGCGAGATGCTGTTGTTACCTTGCCACAGAAATGCATGCTGTTTGGCAGTGCACTCCTCAACACAATTTCCTCTCAGCAATATTCTACCATTTCCACGGAGCTTGTCACCTCTACGCCATTTCTGAAAGCATAATGATAAACAGCTTCAGATGACGATAATAGAAGGCATTAAGCTGAATTTGGGAAGAGAAGGGGTGCAAGAGCCCTCGGTGTTTGATAGAGCAGTTAGCCCACCAAACAGGCTCTGACCTTCAACAGGACAGAACGGTGTCAGTAGCACAGATGAAGGCCTCCTGTCCTGACAACTGTCAAGCTGTAGCCCACCACATCGTACTTGTGAGATAGAAGCAACCAGAATTTTTCCTTGCATATCTCTTCCATCTTGTTTCCCCACCCCAGACCAGGCTCCCTCCCATGGAAGGGAGAAGCACTTCTCCCTTTGGTGGCCCTCCCCGCTTCTGCTGGAGGTCTGCACTAGTTCCTCTCGTCGGAAGCTGACATCCATGGTCACTCACCTTCCAGTGTTTCTGTGCTGGACTCATCAGACTGTCTAGTTCTTGTGTCCTTGCCAAGATGCATTTATGCATTAACAGTTTTTATTTATTTTTAATTTAACCTTTACACATTACCAAACTGTTGCGTGGGTGGGTTTAAGTTTAGCTGTGTAGGTAGCGTGGTGCTGCTGGGGCTGCCTGCTGTCGAGGAGACTGTGGGTTCTTCTTTTCCTGTCTCCTGCCTGCCATCTTTCCTGGCCTTCTCTCTTTCAACTCTTCCCTTCACTCATGCAAGGCCCTGTGATTAAATTTTTAGTACACTTGGATCATTTTGAACTTTTAAGCAATTTCTGAGAGAACAAAACAAAGAGGATTTTTATGGCAAACTCCATTAATGCCACATTAAGGCTGACATTTTAATTACCCCCAAGTCAGGAAATGCAAAGTTCAGGTTCCCACAGCAACAGAAACTGTCCCCTTGAGTGCCGAGTGCAGCATCACAGCAGACTCTTTCATTGCGTGGTTACACAACACCGGCAGGAGAACATTGTTTTTAGCCATGTCTGTGGAAAGAAGCAGCCTTCACCCTTTGTGGCTCGCTGGAACTCCAGTTGAGGATGTGAGCCTTTAGTGCCCCTCCCCAAACCATCTCTGTGCATTATCCTGTAACGGAAGACATGCTCTCCATGTGCACACAGACAGGATTAAAGTTGCTGTGGGGACATTAACTCTGGTTTCCGGACTTCCGTGCCAGTCACATTTAAACCATAATGTTGTAATTTTTGGCATGTAATAAATGTGCATTTCATGTACACAGACAGAAAGAAGCATAAAATGTATTTTAAAGAGCAATTAATTACTAACTTTGTGATTAAAAAACATTTGGTGCATGTTCCTTCCCATTTAGCATCAGCTGCTGGTCTTAGCCAGGCCTAATAGATGACATACTGTGTCCCATCCTGGATCTCAGATGTACTTACTGTATGTTCCTGTTCTTCTAGATAATTAATTCCTTAGAAACGCTGTAGGGGGAAAACAACATGGAAGGAATATGCAAGCATGTAAATAGGGTAAGGGAGACTTTGAAGGAAATGATTCATTTCTGCAAATAAACCTCTGAGTCCCTGATAAAGAGCCAGAAATCTGCTAAGTGGGTGTAGACAAAGGTTTCTGGCCACCTTGGAGCATCTGGTCCTGGGCCGTAAGAACAACTTGAAAGCAGATTTTCCCTCATGAATTCCAGGCTTGCCCAGTGGAGGAGTGACTTTCCTAACTCCTTAGGCTTCAGAATTTAAAGTTATTTTATTCTGTAATGACCAGAGTGTATTTTCAAACTAGTGCGGGTGGGGAGTTGTAGGGAATTCAGGTAAAAGGTGGGCTTTCTAAAAGAACCTCTCATTTAGAGAATAGTGTTTTCTTCCTGTGCATATTAATCTGGTTGACCCATTTGTGTTAGAAAAGGGCATGTCTCAAAATAACTGAACGGGATTGTGAGTAAAAGGGATCATTAGCAATGTGCCGCGGTGGCATGGTCTTTGAAATGCAAGTGCTTGGTTGTGTAATGGAAATTAGGAGACATAAAAATTGTTCTGGAAAGGTGTGTGGCTTAAACCCCAGCCCAGCCTTGGGGGGGGGGGGGTATGCTCATTGAGGATCCTCCTGCTACTTGCTCATTCTTTCCTGTCATGCATTCCTTTTTTGCTCAGTTTGGTTGCATATGGTATTTAACCTTTAAGAAAGAAACTTCAGTTTTTTCAGGGCTCTGATTTGCTGTACTT